TATTTGCCTCTGTGCTCACCAGATCGGGAACAAAGGCTCCGAGTCAGGTGAATTCTCGCTTATACACGTCCACTGTATGAGTATCATGTTTAAGCGCCAGAAATTGATGCTCCAGTTTTACTCGATAGTACGCAGGATAATATTTCTCGCGAATCAACTCCTTGAATTTGTCCCACGTAAAAGTTTCCTTTTCGCCAGGACGCATCCCCCAGTAGGCATTCCACCAGATACGTGCATCACCTGTCAATTGGATCTGTGCGCATAAAACGCGATAACTGTCGGGACAGTCTATGACCTCAAAAATCATTTCAAGGCCCTGGACCCATTCGCCAACAATTCGGGGATCTCCCTGGCCAGAAAATTTCTCTGGATGGTAGTCGCAAAACTGAGCGGCTACGGTAGCCTGGGGAACCTCCTGATGATCTGGATCCCTACGTGGCAGCATCTGAATATTGGAAACGTTCGACATGATTAAACATAGGGATATGACATAGCATGATACATTAACTAAGTGATAAGGCACACAAATTTCTTGACGAGTTGCTAACTTGGCCCGGAAATATTGGCATTTAATCATGGATACACTTGACTATGACTCGAGCATCCTAACTAATTCATAACTGTGAATTTTACTTAGCATAGACATAGTAATTTGTTTATAATTTAAAACATGAATCAACACTTACCTGGTAGTCGGCGAGGCGTGAGCGTGACGTGGTCGGGCTTTTATAAAAATTTATGAATCGTAAAAGTATTCAGATACACAGAAACATGCTCTGGTACCAACTGTAACACCCCGCTATGTCGTAAATATCAGAGTTCAATTTTCGCAAAATCTTTTCTTAAAAATACTTATTAGTTTGCGAAATCATGCATCGGAGTGCTACCATAACTATAACTTTGTTTTGAAATCCGTTAATTTTAGTTTTTAAGCGAAACAGATTAACATAATGTAAACAATCCGACTGGTCATCAGATCAAAAGGGCTAAGTTTGACAAACAGTAAAAGTCAGCGGAAATAGTAGCGTGGGAAAATAGTTAATCTCCAATACGAGAGATAGTAACAGCACTGCTATGGAAAATTCAAATTGTATAAACATAATCCTGAACCGCCCGTCAGCTCACACCTACGGTCCGACCCTGTGATATGAAAAATATAGATAAACATGGGGCGTGAGCACTAAAGTCCACCGTGCTCCGTAGGAACTCATACTAAAGTAAACAGTGAAAATAATAACAATATGATCCTGGCATATACATAACCATCAACATGAACCGGTAAACCATTACCATCACATTACCGTTACCTCATAACCGTTACCTCATAATCGTTACCTCATCTGCCAGCATAAAAATGTCGGACACCATGTGCACACTCTAGTGGGCAGACTATGCCACTAGAACCCAGAATGGACCGACAACCATTCCAAGCGGATACATAACATAACATGATACATACCCCAAACATGGTACCGTAATTATAATCAGTGTAATACCGAGTCTGAGTCCCCACCTGAATCGTCGATATGAAACTGGAAGTGCTGATGATCGTGAACTTGTTCAAACTGTAACACAATATAAACAAATACTAAGTACTATGCTCAGACTTAATAAATTTAACTGTTACTATGCTCGACTTGACTTGACATAACATTTGAACTTAACCCTTATAATCGAAACCGGTTTAAAAATGGAACTGAACTGACATGAATTTACTGAACTTGACCGGACCCAGAATTTAGCTAAAAATTGGACATAAACATGAACCGGGATACTAAACATTAAACCATGTGTTAAAACGGTCTGAACTGGCCGGTTTACGAGCTGGCCGGACAGCCGGCCCGCTGTGGCCAGGCGGTCAGCCGCTGGTTTGGCCAACTGGTTCGGTCCCACGCCGGGCCTGCTAGCACTCGGGCGTAGTCAGTGGCGTGTGCTGACGTGCGTGCATGATTGCTGCCGGCTTGGCCGAAAATGCTGGGCACGATCATGACACAGACATGGGCGTCCATGCGCGCTGGCGTGCCACTGGGCACAGCTGGCGCGGACTGAACCTCGCTAGGCACGACAGTGTTAGCCTGGGATGACTGGACGTGACTTCGGACACTGGCGTGTGACTAGTGCGACTCGCGCGTTCATAGAATAGCCATCGGGCGTTGCTAGCACAACCGACCACTAAATGGATGCAAGACATGGTGACTGGCGCTGCAGGGCGCTGTGGCCGCTTGATGAGGATCGTGTGTTTCGACTGCCGATAAGCCGCTAACCCGCGCCTTAAATTGCCGACAGTGTTTCTCTAGCCACAACTGCGCCTATTGAAACGAATAAAATTGCAGTAGTATTTTGGTGAAAAGACTAAAGCAAAGTTGGAAGAACAAAGTTCTAGATTTCTATTGA